AGAGGAAGTATGTATGTAGGAAATATATATATATATATATATATATATATATATATATATATATATATATATATATATATATATATATATATATTAAAAACAGATTCGCAGTACGAGAATAGCGAAATTTCTTAGCATTGTTTAAATTGAGCTCAGTTTTTTGCAATGATCGATATTATTAGTCGTTAAGTGATTCGAGTAATCGCAGACGAACGCCAGTCGCCATCATACATTGTTTTAGAGCCCACTTAAGCGGCAAACTTTGTTACTGTATGCACGCTCTAACAAAGCCTTTTATTCGCGCGACCTAATAAAAGTCCCATTTCTATTGCCCTGGGTCAAATTAATATTAAACTCTACTCACATTGTAGAAAATGTAATACTTAATCAGTCGGAAAATTGATATTGGACTAGGTTGTATGCTCGGCTGTGACCTGGCGGGGTAACTGGGACAGTGCATTACTTTCATTTTATAATAGATACAGCGACTCACCCTGGCTTCGCTCGGGTTATTTCTTTCCTAGGTACGATTTTAGGGTTGGTATGCAACAGATACACTATATATTATATGATATATGGACTATTGCCTTTCTCAGTAAACGGGCTATCTAATGCAAAAAGATTTTTTCAAATCGGATTATTAGTTTCTGAATAAGCGCGTTCAAATAAACTCTGCCTCTTTATAATATTAGAATAGATTATATAGAAATGAGGTAATCTAACTTATAATTCTGTGCAAATTTCACTTTAATTAGTCTAGTTATTTATTTAAAAATAGACAAAGACAAAACTGTTGAGTCCTTTTTCTCTTCTCTTTGTGAACCGTTTTTTTTTTGTTGATTAGCTATTGTTTGATGAGCTTTAATGATATCAATAAAACAAAATTTGAAAGCAGTAAATTTTTTATATAGATAGATAATAAATGAATATGTTGGGTCATTAACACACGACACCATTTAGTTCTATGGTAAGCTACTCCTGACCGATTCCGGCTACGGCAGCCAATCTAGTTTAGACTAGCCAACAGCGCAGGAGATATTATAGTGCACAAGTGTACGTGCAGACACAACGTGCACTCTTTATTCCTGTCACTCTCCGCGTCTCTCGACTAGTGAGAGTTAAGGCGCAGGACCGACGGCTTTACGTGCTCTCCGAGGCACGGGGGTGAAACACCGCCAACTTCCCAAATCCGGGCTGTTACTGAGGCTTACTATGCAGAAAGACTCAATAACTAAACTTGGTCCGACCCGGGACTCGAACCCAGGACATCCGGGTGTGCAGCCGTACATGTGAGCCACTACACCACCCAGGCAGTTTCAAGTCATATATAATATACATCGGCAGCTATATTTTTGTTGAAGGCCTGGAGTAGGAAGATTGTAATAGAATAACCATAACGTACACTAAATGATGTAGACCTTAATCTTATATCCTATATATAGGCACTCATGTTATCCCATCTTGTGATATTACAAAACTGAAAACCGCTGATACTTAAATGTCACATATTGAAACTTTTATAAAAATATCAGAATACGTTACTAGTTTCCATGAAAATAAAGGGGAAAACGGTGAATGCCGTTGAAAAATCGCGTGATAGCCGACGTAATAGAATCGTTGTTTGGTTTCGATTCTACGTGTTTACGTGGTAATACCTATACCGACGGGCTGACAATGCAAATAGCCCGTATTGTGAATTGCTTAAAAATTTTAAATCCTTGTTGATATTCAAAGTTCAGTAAATTCACAGATTTGACTATACAAATCAGCATAGAATATTCTGTTAATGTGTCTCTCATAACCCAAGAACGGAAAACAACCATACTAATATTATAAACTAGTGAAACTCGCTCGGCTTCGTCCCTAGGTGTTTCTTTACCAATTTAAACAAAGTTATGTCAATACATAACTTTTTTATTTATGAACCGATTTAAATAAAACAAATACTAAATGTTAAGTGAAGCTTACTACAACACGTTAGAGAAAACCGCACTCAAATCGGTCAGCCGTTTCTGAGATTAGCGCGCACAAACGCACTGACAAAAATTATAAAAATCATTGTTTTGGGTTCTATTGCATTAATAAATACTCCTAATAATAGTTTTTCTCAAATATCTTCCATGTACAGACAGCGATCAGTCATATTTTTTTATATGTTTAGATGTGAAAGTTTGTGAGGATGGATGAATGGAAGAATGTTTGTTACTCTTTCATGTCAGAACGGTTGAACGGATCTGGATGAAATTTGGTACAGATATAGATTATAGTCTGGAATAACACACAGGTTAATTTTGATTCCGGAAAAATGATCGGTTCCAGTGGGATAGATTTGCTTTAGTCTTGTGTTGTTGATACATAAATTGTGACCCGGATATTTTTTGATCCAAAAAATGTTATACATCTATACATATAATAAAATTCAAACCGAGTCGAATCTGTACATTCTTTTTTTGGAAAATCTTATTGAAATAAACATTATTATCGATACCGAGGCGGAATCTATAGTTTTTAGAATTTTTGTCTGTCTCTGTCTATTACCGCATCACAGAAAAACCGCTGGAGGGATTTTGATGAAATTTGGTATAATGATAGCTGGTTATTCGGGTCAACATATAGGATACTTTTAACCGCGGGAAAATGTCTCATTTCTGAGAAAAAATACAAAAACTGCATCATAAGTGTATACTAACATGTAAAACCTAAGAATTTGGTTTTGGTCATCTGAACGCGGGCGGAGCCGCGGGCAATGCTAGTATTTTTATATTATTCTTCTAATATTAGTACACTTTAAACATGCAAATATCATTGAAGTATAAAAATATTTAATATTATTTTCTTCACTTTCGGGTAAACAAGTCATTTGAGTGTTCCTACATTTAAGCATTAGTAGTCTCGAATGAGAGCTCATATACACAGCATAAACATATCTGATTTGTGTGGCATAAAATTGTCACACGTACGGCAAGATTAAATTCTCTTTTGCAAAATCTAGTGAAACGTACAGTGCATTTTAATCGAGGCTTTTGAGGCGAAACGGACGCTGCATACGATGAATTTAAACAAGTATAGCATCACAATATGAACACTTACTCCTGATATGTTTTTTATATAAATTAAAATTGTATTCAATAGAAATCTAATTTAAAAAATTGTAAACATCAATAAATCTATAGTCGATACATAAGTTAATTAACTGGGTAGAATAAAGATATAATTTTATAGAGGCCGAATAATTTTTAGAATTTTTTTCTGTCTATCTGTGACTTCAACACGACGAAACTACCGGACATATTTTGATGAAATTTAGTATGATGATAGCTACTGGTTATCCGGGTCAACATATAAGATACTTTTTACTGCGAGAAAATGTCTCCTTTGTGAGAAAAAATACAACAACTGCAATGTAAGAGTATACTAATATGTAAAGCCCAAGATTTAGTTTTTGGTCATCTGAACGCGGGCGAAGCCGCGGGCAATGCTAGTCTATACTAAATGTTAAAATGTAATATATAAAAATCCCTTTTTACGATGTTGGTCCGCGATGAATTCCGAAAATAGTTATCCGATCTTTACGCGTTTTTTTTTCAAAATGTGTGATTTGTTCCAAGAGATAGGATAATTTTTGTCCCGATTATTTTGTTTTTTTATTGCAAAAATAACGATTTTCATATGTCTGCCACAGTAACGCATGGCCGGGTCGGCTAGTGTAATACAAGTATGAATTGGCTTTTACAGAATAGTACATACATATTATTATTTATTTTATTTTGCTTTCTGAGAAATCGATCTATAAACTAAAGAAAACTACATCAAAATAACTCCAATTTTAATTATCACTACATATAGAAGCGAACAAACATACTTTATTCAATGATATAGATATGAATGTATTATATTATTTTTAAACTACACGCACTACGGTGTTGAGTCATTCATCTTCTACCTCCAACGTTGTATCAATACTGAATACTATCTATTAATGAGGAAAGGAACAATGCCTCGGGCTTTTAGTATCCACTAACGCCGCGACTACACGGCATATATGTTACCGGTTGATAATGTATTAGGTAATTCCTTTATATACAGTCTTAACTGCCTCGGTGGTGTAGTGGCTAGCATGTACGTCTGCACACTCGGAGGTCCTAGGTTCGAGTTCCGCGTCGGGCCGAGTTTAGTTATTGAGTCTTTCTGCATAGTAAGTCTCAGTAACAGCCCGGAGTTGGGAAGTTGGCGGTGTTTCACCCCCGTGCCTCGGAGAGCACGTAAAGCCGTCGGTCCTGCGCCTTAACTCTCACTGGTCGTGTCGAATGGTCGTCCCACCGGAGTATGAGAGTGACAGGAATAGAGAGTGCACGTTGTGTCTGCGCGTACACTTGTGCGCTATAATATCTCCTGTGCAGTTGGCTAGTCTCAATGAGATTGGCCGCCGTGGCCGGAATCGGCTAGGAGAACATCATCATACATACAGTCTTATTATTATTATATACAGTTAATAGGGCATGATAGAAACTTTTTTCGTATAAAATAATTTTAACAATTAAAATTTTAATGCAATCGGTTACCGGAAACCCTAAAAAGTATTATTACCGATTTTGCAATCGGTAATAATACTTTTTAGTATTTCTCGGAATATTTGTTTCATATAATACTGTCTCATCGAATATTTTAACCACTTTTTTTGATTTTTGGTTGCCGACATTTTTTCTGATGATGAAAAATGTTTCTTGTATTTTTATTTTTTCATTTTTATTATTTGTTGTCATAGCAGTAATAGATGTACGTACTTGGTGAAAATTTCAGCTCTCTACTTATAACGGTTTTGAAATATAGCCCTCTGACTGACGAACGGACGGACCGCGGAGGCTTTGTAATAGGGTTCCGTTAGCACCCACGGGTACGGAACCCTAAAAAGCACTGTTCAATTGTGTCATTATTACTGCAGATTATCGTATAGAAGATATAGATACTCGTATATAATAGCAATTATTAAAGCGACTTACCGTGCGTTCTGGGGTCCCACGTTGCCATCGTTGAAAGACGAGCTGGCGGTGAGGTCTTTGTCGGGTATCAACCCACTCTCCATGCCCAACGGCGCAATACATTGAGCTGAAAATAAACAGCCACAACGGTTATATCGGGACATCTTCTAATTCTAATGTTAAACAGAAATTAATCTATACATATAATAAAATTGTAACGAAGCCGAATCTGTACATTAAATATTTTTTGGAAAATCTTATTAAAATAGTCATTATTATCGATACACAGGCCGAATCTAGTTTTTAGAATTTTTATCTGTCTATCTGTCTGTTTGGGAACGCATCACGGGAAAACCACTGGACAGATTGCGATGAAATTTGGTATAATGATAGCTGGTTATCCGGGTCCACATATAGGATACTTTTTACTGCTTGAAAATATCTCGTCCCCGTTAAATAAAGAGCGTAAGTTATATAAATACAAAACGTATAAAACAAATTATAGTATCTAATATTGAATATATCCAATATAATAATTTTTAAGCAAATCCCTACATGCCCATATTTTTTTTTTGTACATCAACACACAGCACTATCTTGATCCATGGTAAGATACGTTGCTTGTGTTATGGATACCAAATCGTTGTTGATACACTACACATATATATCTTTAAATACATAATATTATAAAATATAGATTATAAACACTCACAAATGGAATACAAACATTCGTGCTCATCACACAAATGAATGCGCCTAGCGGGGCTCGAACCCGCGACCGCTGGCACAGCAAGTAGGGTCACTACAAACCGACCCAAACGTGTTGTGAAGTATTATAAACATCACGTGTCTAATGACTCCTTACTTATACGAGTATGAAAAATCGATTTAAATAATTACACGATACTCCCATATAGTAGAAAAAGTAATAATTAAAACGGCCGCCGCGCAGTTGTTATTACTTAATTAAAAGCATGGCAAGTGGACATCAAACGTATTGCTACGATATAAGCCAACTCCATTTCATAATAACGTATATTTTTAGTATATCTACATACAACATAACTAGCATTGCCCGCGGCTCCGCCCGCGTTCAGATGACCACAAACCAAATTCTTAGGTTTTACATAGGTATTAGTATAGGTACTGTTTCTTACAATGCAGTTTTTGTATTTTTTCTCAGAAATGAGATATTTTCCCGCAGTAAAGAGTATCCTATATGTTAATCCGGATAACCAGCTATCATCATACCAAATTTCATCGAAATACCTCCAGTGGATTTTCCGTGATTCGGTAACAGACAGACAGACAGACAAAAATTCTATAAGCTATAGATTCGGTCTCTGTATTGATAAAAATGTCTATTTCAATAAGATTTTCAAACCTCTAAGTCTAAGTTACAATTTTACTATATGTATAGATAACCAACTCGCAACATATTCTCACTTCGGTCTGGTTCTAAGCCTCGAACTAATTAGGTGACTAATAGTAGTCTGTATGATACCCCAGGTCACACTGTATATATCTATCTATACATCCATATTATTATTAATATTATAAATGTGAAAGTGTGTTTGTTTGTTTGTTTGTTTGTTTGTTTGTCTTTCTTTCACGTCGAAATGGATGACGGATTGGCGTGAATTTTTGTGTGGAGATAGTTGAAGGGCTGGAGAGTGACATAAGCTACTTTTTACCGCGGGATATTTTTTAGTGAAACCCGCGGGTTCGCTAGCCCTAAGATAAAAAAAAAACTCTAATAAAACAGTTTCATATAAACTTTCACCCCTATTTAACCTTTTTATAGGACGATTTTCGAAATATGCTAAAACGCGTATTTATTTAATTCTATTGAAGAGCATTAATACCAAGTTTCAAGTAATTCTGATCATTATTATTTTTTGGATTGTAATATAACGTATTTTCCCGTGGGAATTAGATAACCTCCCGCGGTAAAAATCTCATTCTCCAGCCCTCTAACTATCTCCACACAAAAATCACGCCAATCCACTTATCCACATCAACAAACTTTCATTTCTATAATATTAGTATAGAAAGAAGTATGGATATGGAATATGGATGTCAAATATTCGCATAAATCTAAGAAAGTATTATAACACTAAATAAATAAAAATCAAAGTATTAAAATAAAAATTTTAAAACATTATAAAGTTCTTAAATCGATATGAAATCAATTTTCAACCGACTTCCTTAAAAAGGAGGAGGTTCTCAATTCGGCTGTATTTTTTTTATGTTTGTATTTGGACAATTTTTGTTTTGTTTGAAAATATATACTTCCAGATTGGTCCCATTTTAATTTCAAAAAAAATATACCACCCCTAAGGGTGGAAAAATAGCTAATGATGAATTTAACCTACTTCTAATTGTCTGTCTGTGACTTGAAACTTTTCAAGTGTTTCTATTTCCGTTGATAGTACAGTGGTTAGGTATTGTTGACCTGATCTGATGGTAAGACCAGAAGGTGGATAGGTGGAACTCTTCAACGGCTAATAGTAGATACTTTGAGTTTGGGCTTATTTTGTTTGTTTTGACAAGCCTAACACGTTAGAATTCTTACTTTGCTACTACTGTCTACACTAAAAAGGAAAAAATAAAAACTTTTTAACAAAAAAATAAAAACTGTGCCAGCCGATACAAAGCAAAGCACACGACTTCGAAAATATTTGATTAGATATGTACTCGTATAGTAAATGAAAACTACCAATCAGTTATTTTTCACTTTTTAGTGCTTTATTTGAAGTCGGTTTTTATTTTTTTGTTAAAAAGTTTTTATTAATGTTAGTCAATATAATTGGGCGATTAAATAAGAAATTCTTTTATATAAAGTATAAGCGAGGCTACCATCAGAGATAGCTTCCAAATAATATTCAGACATTCCCTTTAACCATGCATTAACAAATCCACCACTAATTACAATGATTAAGCCGATCGAACATCGGCGGCAGCGGCACGTTAATATTACTAGCATTTTCGATCGACCTAAACCGAGCGGCATTTAATATTTGATAACGCAGCACAAATTATGTTTAGTTATTTTACTATGTAACATCAACCTAGGTAGGTAGGATAGTGGGTTCGATTTCAGTATAACTCTTACTTTAAGAATTATTTCACTGTAGTTGAAAAAAAACCATTAAAATAGATATATTTCATTCAAACAAAAGAAAAGTCTTTAAACCTATTTTTACAATTTAAATGAAATTCCCTCAACAGATTTACCAAATCTACCCAAACAATCTCGTTTCAACGGTTTACATAGATGATACTTATGTATCTATATATGTATTACTTATGTAAAAAATATATATAAGACGCTACCAACGCATATAATTAACTTCGCGACCATCACTACGCTTCCCGTTTCCGATGATATTACAATCAAATAGAACAGAACACCTGCCATTATTCCATTCACGCGTGAAACATTCGTGGTTCGAACGAACCGATCGTGATCGGCGCTCGTCAAAAAGAAATCATTGAAATGCAAACTGTGGCGGCGCCAGTTATATTTTTAACATCATGATAAGATCCTTTGAGATGGCGAAAGCGGAAGGTTGGTTTGAACAGACGCTATGTCGGGGGAAGTTTCAACTGTATTGACTGTACTGCTCGCCATTTTGTTGATAAAATTTTGATATTTTAATAAATAATGACTATTTATTTTGTTCATTTTGAAGTGTTTATAATTTTAGTGAATTTCGCTTTGCAGTAAGACATAATTAATATTGTATTTATTTATAGAATTTTAGTAAGTTCGCTGTGCTTAGGAGTGTATGGTAAAGTCGAGTCTACTACTAGGACCCATAAACTGATCTATACAGTAACCTCGTATGGTTATTAGTTCAGACATATTTTTATGTAATATAAAAATATGTATTTTTATATTACATAAAAATATGTCAAACTAACGACTGACTCACGCTTCGCTAGGGTTCGTCTGTAGTTGTGTTTTAACGTTTAGTATATATTTTCCCGCATATATGTTGATCGGGATAACAAGCTATCATCATACTAAATTACATCAAAATCTGTCGTGGTTTTCTCGTGATGCGGTCACAGACTGACAAAAATACTAAAAACCATAGATTCGGATTTCAATAAGATTTTCCAAAAAAAATATTTAATGTACAGATTCGACTTAGTTAGATTTTTATTATATGTAAAGATTGTTTGCCATGCTATAGCTAGCAGGTCAAAATGCAAAGTATAATTCACACAAACAATATCATATCGAGATCGAACTCGAATATATGTAACATGTACAACAATGCAACTAGACTATCACTATATAGAAAAGTATATATATATATATATATATATATATATATGTAGTACACTTGTATGAAGCGTTCCAGTTGCTTCAGAACGCTATTTTACATGAAGTATATCTGAGTATTAAATGTCATATATTTATGCCAATCAAATGTTCGAGACCAATTAAGTAGTTACGAAGTTATGAGGACAGCTCACTTCATTACACAAGACATACACGATAAGCTTCAATATTTGAATAAATTTTATGATATTAGATTCCGCTTGAAAGACAGTGATCTGTTGCATCAATTTTGTTACAAGACTACAAGACTACAAGACTTTTGTTCACTTTCATCAATTTTAGATGCATGGGGGAGACTACAATTTCTCCAATTAAGCATTCATATACAACGGGAATCGAACCTGTCACTGTTTTTTCAATAAAGCAAAATACAACAAATAAACATTTTCGCAGAAGCATATATAGGTAAGTACATTCGCAAATGCGACACAGCACTTTCGCGTGTTCAAACATTTAAGTATAATTTCCACGCTTATAATGGAGGTTTGAGAATTTCATCTGAGATATGACTTTAATATAATAAATACGTATTTCCCAGCAACGGTTCCCTTCAATGCGAAGCACTTCATATAATTTAAACTAAATATTTTTAGACGAGTCCTTTTGCTTATTACACGCAAGCAAGTGCGATTATTTTGATTCTGGCAGGAATGTATGTATCACTAGCATTGCCCCCGGCTCCGCCCGCGTTCAGATGACCAAAAACCAAATTCTTAGGTTTTACATATTAGTATACTCTTACAATGCAGTTTTTGAAATTTTTCTCAGAAATAAGAAATTTTCCCGCGGTTAATAAGTATCCTATATGTT